ATAGCATATATAAATAACATTATATAAATTGTTAGATTAAAAAGAAACATAAGAAAAAAAATTATTTTTTTTAAATCACAAATAACGAGATATAAGAAATATTCTAAAAAAGATTAAGTAGTTTTATATAATCAATTATTTTCAAATTAATAATAACAAATCAGTATTGATTACAATAAACAATTGTAATAAAGAACAAAATATGATTAAAATTGGAGTAAATCAATAAGAAGTAATTGAAAGTGATTATAATAGCTTTATCAGATTTCTAGAAATATAGATAGAAAACAAGAGGTATACTAAAGACACAATCTATCGAATTAAGCATAAAATCATAACAATTGTATCAAGTTTTCAAAAGAAAAGAGTAATAGACAAGCATATAGATTATATTTTAAATAAAGTACTTATCTTATACAAAAATACTGAATACAATACTGTTTCTTAAATCAGAATATTTGTAACAATCTAATAGTACAATTAAGAAAGATCCTAAAAAAAGTGGCAAAACTGGTCTTAACAATTTCCAATTTAGCTATTTATTACAAAAAGATTTATAATATTAAAGGTATTGAAAAAATCCAAGTAGAAAATTAGATCTTTAACTTTATAAACAGGCTATGTGACTAAGGATCCTAATGATTCTCTTTAATTCTGTATTCAATTCTCAAATTTATATTAAATTTAATAGGTAGAATATACCCCACCATTATTTTTAATAGTATTCCAAACCTTATGCAATTACCTGTGATTCTGTTCAATTCCAATTTTCAGAACTATATATGTAACATGAGTTCAGGCAATATATTCACATTTATTTATTTCAAACAAGTTCAAGTTTAAAATTGAAAATTAAGCAACATTTTAATTAATGATATTTCTTAATCAATCAAATATTCAAAGAACTTTTCAATACAAGTTCTAAAAATGACCAACAATTTAAAAATCACAATATTTAATTCCCAATAATCAAATTATTTTAATTGGAAAAAAGGTACACTATCTATTAAAAACATGCTTAACAATATAAAGTTATATCAGAAAGCAATTTTATTTTTAAGAAAGCATAATATAATTTTTGTAGATAAAATAATTGACAATAATACCAAAACAGTACTACTCTGAAAAATTATTCAAATTCTCTAAAACATTAGCAAAGGATTAATACTATTATGATTTAGCAAAATTCAATCTATTTTGACAAATAAATACAATGTTATAAATAAAAAATGACAAAGTTGGAACTGAAAAAAACAAGACAAATGATTTTTCTCAATTAATTTAAACAAAAATTGACATCAATAGAATTGGAAAATTACAAGTTCAAAGAAACTAAACAAACAAATTATTTGATATAGAAGTAAAGAAGATTTAGACTATCAAGCTTCCCAAGCAAAAGTCTATAACCTAAAAACAGGATCCAGACTGAATATAGTCAAACTTTAAAGAAGTAAAGATACTATTCAATTCCAGATCAATGAGGAAACAAGAAATTCATTAAATAAAACAAATGTTCAAAAAGATAACAAAAGATCAAAAATTAGATTGCTATCATGTAATATTATTAATTAATGTTTAACTTTTAGAAAAACAGATAAACTAGAAATTCCAATTAGTATATATTTCTTGGAAAAACTTGCTAAAAAAAAATTGGAACATTTAAAAAAAAAAGAAACTACTGACAACTGTATCATGGCAGTTGAAATAAAAGACTGGAGAGTACAAATAATCAAAGAACATATCCAATTTTCAGATTATATATAAGCTCCAATAGAAGAATACAGAATTAATAAAGAAAGCAACTTTTGATAATCTTATTGTTTTTATATAAATGGATTATATAAAAAAGCAAGAGATCAAACATTAAAAATAAGAGTTGCCTAGTTACAAGTTAAAGAATCAAATCTAAAAAAATCCTTTCAAACAGAAGTAGATAACTAGTTATTAGTATTTCAGGCAAAACTTATTATAATCATTCTAACACTTTTGATTATTTCTCAAAAAAATCAAATAGAAATTTGAACAGATTATATAATCTGTATTAATACTTTGCAAAAGCTTTTAAACTTTCATATTAAAGATATAGAAAAAAAACCAGAAAGTAGAAGAACTGACAACTATAGATAAGATATATAGACCTAATATATAAAAAACAAATTACAATTCAAATAACTAAAGTAAAAGTCCATAATAAGAATAAGGCTAATAACAAGATAGATCTTCTTGCCAAAGTAACAAAAAAAGAATATGAGATTTGTTGAAACAGTTGGTACTAATAAGAAGCCCTAATAATACTATACTAGAATAAGATTCCTATAGATATAAGAATAAAGATAAAAAAATATATAAGAGAAGTATTTTAATAAAATAGGCAAATCAAAATCAAATATAGAAAAAATAGATTAAAAAAATAGATAACTAAGAAAACTTTAATTAGAAAAGTTTTTGAAAAATAAACAATGTAAGAAGATCTCTAATAATATTACTCAAATAAGTTTGAGAAAAAGCTTTTTAAATAAAATTAATATATAACAAACTATTAATTCTAGACAACATGATCAAAAGATTCCCTATAAAATATACAAACCTGACCAAGTATCTATATTATTAACAAGAAGAAGAATTTGTAGAATATTTTCTTTTTTGTAATAGTATCACAGAAATATGTAAAGAAATATAGAACAAAAGCTAAAATTAGCTATTTAATAAATGACTGAAAAATACTTAGGCAGAAAAAATACAAAATAGGTAAATTGTAATACAAGAGCTTTTATAAAAATAATACAGGCATAAATTCTTTATAGGTATAGAAATCATAAACTTGTACTTAGGATTTTTTCCAAAAAAGAACATTTCAAAATAGATATAAACAATATTAAAATTAAGACCAAAACTAGTGAAGCAAAGCAATTATTAAAAAAATTTTCAAGAAATATCTGCAAGCAAGTTAAAAAAAAACTATGGAATGACAGATGCACCAAATTATAGAATTTAGAAAGAAAACCCAAAATATATAAATATAGGAAAAAAGACATGTATGAAATAAAAAAAAAGAAGAGGAAATTAAGAAATCTCAAATAAGAGAAAACAAGTTCAAGAAAATTACAAAAAAATAATACAGAAGATTTCTCTGTACAAATTCAAGACAAAATCTTAATTTGGGAATGAATTAAAGAAAAAAAAAAATGGTTAAAAATATAAAAAATAGTTTAAATTTTAAAAAAATGAACTGTAATAATAAACTATAGGCAATAATTTTTAGAATTGAACTCCATAAGCAAGTAAATAATAAAGAGAGCAACCTTCTTTATTTTCAATATTACATCTAGAGACATTAGTCAAAAACAAATATTCAAGGCAATAGAATAGTTTATGTAATATAATATATTATAAATTATTTGTTTTTTGTAAAGATTTAATAAACAATATATACTTGTTTAACTATAAATATATATATATATATTTTGAAATATTAAAATTAATTTCAAATTTATATTTTTATGATTTTTAAGACAATATTATTTTAATCAAAATATCTTGGTCTTAAAAATTTAAAATGTAATATTTTTAATATTTGATAAATCTATATTAGATTCAATTAATACAAATACTAGCTCTATTAATATTACAATATAAAAAAAGTTATAAAAACTATAAAGTATTATTTTTTAAATTATAAAATATTTTTTTTATAACATTTAAAAATTTTTCATTAAAAAATTATTTTTATTTATTTTTTTAAATAATTAAAATATTTTTTTTAAAATTTATATAATATTAATTTTAATTATATATTATTTATTAATAATAGTTATTTTTTATCTGTTTAATAAAAATTTAAAGTATAATTATAAGCAAAATTTTTAAATTTTAAAATAATTTTTTTAATAAAAGTTAATTTTAGTTAAAGTTATATAATTTATAAGCAGTTTTATAAAATTATTTGTAAATAATAATTTTAATTATCATGATTTTAATAATTTAATTATAAAAATTTTAGCTTGTATTAGAAGTAAAATAATTTTTTACTTTAAATATATATTAAATTTTATATAATTTTTGTATTAAAATTTTTACTTAATAAAATTAATTATGAATATTTTAAATAATATTTTTTATAATATTACAATATAAAAATTAATATTTAAAATTTTATTAAAATTTTAATTATATAGACAAATTTGTCTGCATTATACTTTATGAGATATATATTAGATGAAAAACTATAATTGTTTTTTCATATCTCAAGTTTTAATAATAGTTAGATAGATTAATATTAAATATATTAAATAAATGATTTTTTATATTAATAGTATATAACTAGAGAATTGATTATTTAAATAAAATAAGATTGCTATTTTTTTTTTTATTTTGTAAAATTGACCTATCATATAATTTAATATATATGTTTAAAATTCTATTTTAATTTATTTATATAATAAAAAGTAATATGAATAATTGAATTTAATATAAGTAACCAATAAGTCTATTGAAATAATATAAAAGTTAAATACTATTTAAAATATACAATCTATATTTTTTTAAAATATATAAAAAAAAAAAGAATTACATATAAAGATTTTTATAATTTAAATTATTTAATTTAAATATTTATTAAATTATTCTTATTAAAATAATAATTAATTAATTATATTCTTTAAGAAATTTTATATACTGAATATAACAAAGGAATCTGGTTTACTCTTTTTTTTAGCTATAGCAAATTTTCATTATATTCAAATAATTTTATTAGAAAAAATATAAAATTTTTAAAAAAATACTTTATTATATCTAGGCATTCGTTATATCCAGACTTTGTTATATACAGGTTTACTGTGTATTAAACTATTTTATATTTTTTTTATATACCGTAATTAAAAAAAGTAATACTGTAATATAAATTTGTAAATAAGCATTCTTGCCTATTAACGAAATTTGATGCAGATCATAAAAGCTCGTTGAATTGAGATTCTGATGCGCCGAACACACATGCATTCAAAATGTTGCCCGTAGAAATATTCCGTCTCGTTTTTGGGCTACTTTCACATGACAAGAACTTCTTGCACTCGTGTCTTTTGGTAGATCGAACTTGGTCTGAAAGTGTTGTCTCTATTCTATGGAGGGATCCTTTTCGGTTTTTGCAGAAACCTTCGGCGCAACTCATTCAAACATACATTTTGTGTCTGAACGACATCGATCGAGCAAAATTGCAGGAACTGGGAATTACTTTTGAAAATGAGGCCTCGTACAAACCCTTCTTTGATTACGTGATATTCTTACGACACCTCAATTACATTGACTTTTACGAGTCATCTCAAGCTTGGTTAAAGGAGATCTTGGGAGAGCAAGAAAAACATGATTCCAAAGCATTTTTGGTGGTTGAAAAATTGCTCCGACTTTTCATGGAACGATGTCCAACGATTCTATCGATGAATATCAACACCGAGGGATTGTATCCACCTGAAAACACCGACTGCGTGTCGATACCTTGTTTTCCTGGTGCCGACAAATGTTTAAAACAATTGCAGGAATTTATGTTTTGTGGAAATTATCAAAAGAAGAAAATTTTTACAACCATGTCAAGATCGTGCCGAAATATTCGGAAACTAACAGTGGACTATTTCTTGGACGACATCAACACTGCGGCACCTTGTGAATTAGCTCGTCTTATTGAAAATCAACACGCTTTGATTGAATTCAAACTTATATTGTATTCCCGTTTTTTGAAAAAGATTGTACCGGCTTTGAAGAGCCAAGCAAAAACATTAATCAACGTAGAATTTCGAGGCATTCGTTTTGATAACGAAATTACATTTGAACCACTTGTAGCTTGTACTAATTTAGAATCCATAACCTTTTACAATTGTGACAACGTCACAAATGAATCATTAGACCCTTTATCTACTGGCTATTTTCCTAAACTTCGAAAAATAGTATTTATCATACTTCACACACCACCCAAGGCATTGGCGGCTTTCGTTTGTAACAATAGTGCTACCCTGAAGGATTTATCATTGGAATGGCCACCACTTGGCGATTCCCAAAACGATCCACAAATTATTGAGGAAATTATAGAGCACTGTCCGAACATAATCAAATTTGAAGCTCATTTAAAAACATCGCAATTGTTCTCACTTTTGAGCGCATTTTCTCGATTGGAGAATTTGACGGTTCGCGGTAGGGAACCATTGTTCGCTGATGGATTTTTGCCCCAACTTGGCCAAGTAGTTCCGCCAAAATTACGTGTGTTAAATATCTGCGCCATTTGGTCATTTAATCCAGAATCTTTAAAACAATTTCTTGACCATTGTGTCGCTCCACTAGAGTATATAGGAATTCGTGAGTGTTATGCCATAACCGATGAACATCTGGACATTCTGGCAGAATACGCCGAGAAAGGGTCGTTAAAACATCTGGATATTAAAGTTGCGACCAGAATCACAAGGGAAGGATTGACAAACGCACTCAGAGTGATCGATCAGATTGATCACAGTGTGGCATCTTAGGAGGATTATGGGAATTTTGGATCGATTGCGTTGTTAAATAATTATTTTTTTTGATGATGTTTTAGTTATTGTAATCAATTTAAAAATCTACAATAAACAAATCAAAATGTGCATGTCACTCAATAACTCTCACGTGAATAATGATTCATAATCCCGTGACTCACTTCGCTTTTTAGGAATAGGAAATTCGTGCGTGTGTGTAGGCTAGTTTACGCCTTTTCTCTCTTTACAACTTTAAACATCTGGGTGTTGTTAAACATCCATAACTTTGTGACAAAGGTATAGAGTCCCCGGAATTTTCGCAATGCCAAATGGTTGGCGATCAACAGTCAAACCCGAGTCGAGCTTCATCTCAAACAGTTAGTTTTTCTTTTCTTTTCTCCTTTACCTCGTTCCATGTGGTTAGAAGGACTAAAGTTCTCGTATTTTTTCATTTTTTAACTTAGGCCAAACGTTCTTACAACTATGATGCAGTCATGCGGTCAGTTTTGTACTTATGTCTCTGTCTTATTTCTTGGAGATCTTTATCTAAATAGAAACGGTATTCTCCAATTACTAAAAAGAACAGATTAAACAACTTGGAAAATTGTTTAATTGACATGCAAAAGTCGCGGGACGAAGTGATGACAAACATTGAACAGATCTTGGAACGGGAAAAGATAAAGTTCGTTCTGGCAAGTGTCTACCTTAATCGTCCCACGAAAAACTTTATAAACCAAATTTTGACCACGTTACCACATTCGCGATATATTAGCAAAAAGAGAAAAGTTCGAATTTATTACGTCTGTCTCGATACCAGGCTGAAATTGTGGACCAGAGGAAAGCACTTGACGAAGGTGTGTTTTGCATACTCTAATGGGACAAATGTTTTTTATTGCAAGATTCGACATCATATTCGATAAATTATTTATTACTAGCTTAAAATTGTATAAAAAAGATCGCCAACGCATAAATTCTTTACGAGAAAATATTCTTTCCCGCCGTGCCGCTCTGGAAGATGCAAAAAATCGTTTTCACGCGGATAGCAAATCTTTGGAGGAAAGCCAAAAGATATTGGAACGAGATCGGTTCGTTTTGTTAAACTTTGGAATTGGTTTTGAAATTTAGTTCGTTCTTTTTTCTTTCAGATGGTCGTATTGAATAGGGTTGATGTTCATAGCGAAGCACTCTACGTGACAACATCCAATCTTTATGCTCGTCGAAAGGAACTTGTTGCTGACTTACTCACCATATACCCCATTGAGCAAGTAAGATTTCATAGTTGACTATCAATCATCAAAAAAAATAGTTTTCCTATGCAACTAATTAATTTATTATTATTATTACTATTATTTTCCAGATACAATCAGAATCATTCTCCTTCACGATCCTTGGTGTGCCGTTGCCTAATTCGGTGTTCACCGGTAATTACTGATCATATAATATAAGGGAGATACTATAATAAAAAAATATTCAAGCATTGTATTATTGATTTGTCTAGGATGTGATGAAGAACAAGTGGCTACGGCGCTTGGTTTTACATGCCATCTTATCAAAATGCTTGCTTATTATCTCGGTGTTCCCTTAAGGTTTCCGATGACACCAATGTCTTCTAGATCGACGATACATGATCCGATATCAGCTTCGCTGACAGCCTCGAAACAGTAAGTCAAGGTGCTCCAAGTTGATTGTTTGACTTCCTTTACCTCGCCTGAGTAAAGTTATCGAAATGTAATACCCGTAAAATCAAACGTATGTACTTGGGAACTGTATTATAGAATATGTGACACACAGAGTTCATCCAGATGGCTTCTTAACCGGATTACATTGAACTATTGCGCGCGAGATGGAGGTTTTACTAACAATAAACTTGGAGCTCTGTAATTATCTGAATTTTAGCTATGGATCCTTGTTAACTTCTTTTTCATTAACTAATAACCATCCTCTTTCCAGATTCCCTTTGTATTCCAAAGGGGTTGATCGCTATCGATTTGAATATGCTGTATTTTTGCTCAATAAAAACATTGAACAGGTTTGTCTCTTTATAGATGCATTTATCCCAAGAAATTTTACATAACTGATTCGTGTCTAATTCGACAATCATTGTTTAGCTGATGAATTCACAAGGCTTACTGGTGATGGACTTGAGGCACACCTTACCAAACTTGAAGTATCTCATCCTCAGTTTGGTTTCAACGTCGCCCAGCCAAACATCGCATTTACGCAAATTCATTCCTCACAACTGTACGATACCTCATTCTCTAAATAATGCAATTCCGAGCACTAGCAATGAAAGTTTACCCTATGTTCAAGATAATTATTCTGATGATAATTTAACTACATCCATCCGAACCGACAGTCCAGGAAGATCGCAGAGTGCGATTGTAAATTCAAAGAAAGCGGATGAGTCTCATCGCAAAGCGAATCCCGGATTTGAGGTTGGAGTCACATAACAAAAATTGATTGAATTTGGTGATTGCGAAAGGGCATCCATTGGCTGGTCATCGGGTGAACTCGCGGTTATGCGTTATGACTAGAATGTATAGTTTTAATCATTTTTCAAGTTTTGACGCAAGGGATTGATAATATATATTGTATCTTATTGTAAATTACCACGAAATTCTCTCTTGAATTTTCCTGGCCACACGTCTTTAGCCAAGTGTTCCTGTGAATGTTTACGCTTGTGCATGAAATTAAACAGGGTCTAAAGAATATCCGGTTTAATGTGGGAAACGCTGGTTTTATTATCTAAAATCAAAGAACTATTCAATAAATTCAAATTACCGGCCATCATGGCCAATTATTATAATTTGGTATGCTAAAAGAATAATAATAAGTAAATAAATTGCTTTTTGCCGATCACATCGTCAGGCATGTAGCCATACATAATCTAGCAAACCTATTTAACGATCAAAAAAAAAAAAAAAATTAAATTAGAAATAAAAATTTTTCTATCTCGATACACTTTATACATATTAAAATTTGATTATCATAAATCATTGTGATTGGTTGGATAAATTTTTTTTTTTTATTTTTTTCTGACAAGAAAAAAAAAATGGCATCTGATCCGTTTTTTGTTAGTCCAAAGTCAAAAAAACGAAAGGCAACGTCGTTTGAAACTACTTTAAAAAATGGAAAGAGAATTATGGATAAACTGGCCGAAAACTCGGATGAGGAAGAAAAAACTTACAGTGATGACATAGGACCTGGTGGCATTGATGACTTGGATTTGGAAAAAAGTGATGAAAGCGAAGAAGAGCTTGAAATCAATGAGACACCAGCTGAAAAGAGACGACGACTTGCAAAGAAATACATAGAAACTATCGAAAAGGAACTAGGTAATAGATCCCTTTTATTAGAATAGTTCAAAGTGCGTGTGCTAAACATTTTTGACCATCTAGACGACGCCGGTTTTGACGCTGCTGATATTGACCGAGATTTAATTGCTGAAAGGCTACGGAAAGATGCGGTACATTGTGGTTCTAAACGGATACATTATCAACGATTAGTCTAATTTTTCAACTGTTTGTATTTTAGCTAGAACAAACAGGAAGAGCTCATCGTATAATAGCGGATACGGTATTGTATCACCATAAGTAATTAAAATAATATATTTTAAAACTCATCGAACATATTTTCTTTTAGTTTTCATTTCCAATTGATTATTCTGCTATAAAATCTGGACGTCTTGAACTTTCGGCTACGTGTGCAGCAATTATGGAATCTGGGCAATTCTTTTATATAGGATCTAAAGACCATTCTATCTCGAAATGTATGTTTATTCTTTCCTATTATTTTTTGTATTAATTTTTTTATTTGACCGCAATTTACTCGTTTCAGGGGATGTGAAAACTGGTAAAAAATTGCACGTTTTTCCAGGAGGTAGAAAAGAGATCAAAAAGTACGATGGACACACAAATCATGTTTTAGCTTTGGCAGTGAGCTCTGATGGAAATTATATGGTATTTATTTTCCAAATATAACATCGTCTATATCAACTTTTAACTTGTATCTTTTACGATTACACACAGGCTAGCGGTGGCGTCGATAAAAACATTAATATATGGTCTGTAAAGGAAGACAAGCTGCTAAAGTGTTTTACACAACACAAAGATTCAATAACAGTATGATTGATTTAGAACCTACTTGTTTTAATCTATGCTAAAATTAACAATTAAAATCCTATTTGTTTTTAATGATTTTAGGGGCTTGTATTTCGTAAAGGACATAATCAACTATATAGCTGTTCTTTGGATCGCACGATCAAGCTTTGGAATATCGATGATATGGGTTATATAGAAACATTGTAGGTTTCTGATATAGATATTTGCTCTATAAAAAAATACTAATAGACGTATTCATCAGATTCGGACATCAAGATCAAATTATGTCAATTGACATTCTTTCACGTGAACGTTGTGTTACAGTTGGCGCACGAGATCGAACGTGTAGGTTATGGAAAATAGTCGAGGAATCACAATTGATTTTTCACGGTAGCACCAAGGAAGCAACAACGGATGACGGTCAAAACTTTAAAGAAGGGAGTTTGGATGTTGTGGCGATGATTGATGAGGAGAACTTTCTCAGCGGAGGAGACAGCGGGTATGAAATAATTTTTAATCCATTTACCTTATGTATAGATAATTTACCAATGTTTACATTTCAGTTCTATCTGCTTGTGGAACACCAACGTAAAGAAACCTGTTTTTGTAAAGCAGCTTTCGCACGGTTTACAAGATTTTGAATCGGAAAGCGAAGGTTCTATCAAATCTCCATGTTGGATTACTGCTCTAGCTACTGTGCGATTCTCGGACCTTTTTGCTTCGGGATCATGGGACGGAAACATTCGTCTCTGGAAATTGACGGAAAATATGCGTTCTTTCACGCTTTTGACAGAAATTTCTATGATAGGATTTGTGAATACTTTGCAGTTTATGACTTCCATGGATAATAAAACTTATCTTTTAGCTGGTATTGGTCAAGAGCACAAATTGGGTAGATGGAAAAGAATAAAGAAAGCCAGAAATGGATGGAGGCTGATTGAGTTGGCATCCAAGGTGTGAGACTTGGTGTAGGTGAAATTTTGGTTTTGTTTTACTGCTTATAAATGTGACATAAAATTACAAAGACAAAAATGTTATGCCTGTTTTTCCCTAAATATAATGTGTTGCAATATTTTTGTTGAAAAGCAAATCCGTGGTCGCTACAACATAATTCGAAATGGAAACATTGTTTAATATTCACAGTGTCAATGTTCAAAATTACAGCGGATGCTTATCAAGGTCATGGTCAAATCATTCTACGACCGTGGCCTTAAAACTTTCGCTAAAATTAAAATTCTTTTGAGCAGAACGTATATGATCTTTATGAATTATACATATACGTTTTGAAAAGAAGAGACATATCCATATTTAATCTCATTCAATATTCATTAACACTTTGCTTATTAACAATACAAATTGTGATTTTGCTATTAATTTTTTTCTAAATTTATAAACTTTAAGAGTTTTTAATAAATAAAATTGAAAAAGACTGCTTTGTATGCTGTATATTTTTTTACCGAATTGTTCAAATATATAGTAATTTATCAATTGTGACTTGAGATTTGTATAAATAAAAATTTTCACAATAATATTCATTATTTAATAATTGATTCAACTTTGTAAGCTTTAATAAAGCTTATCAATAATTAACTTATAATGAATCCATTTATTTCGATTAATTATTTTTAAATTTTATATTTTAAAAAAAAAAGAATAGCAAAATTTATAGTTTTTTAAATTTCGAAATTATTAAATGTTGATTTTTTAAGTTTTTTTTAAATAAATTACAATAACTTATTAATGAATTGTAATTACATTTGAAATTTTGATTACTCAAAAATAAATAAATATATTGTATTTATTAAAATTTTTTTACATTTTTGACAAATATTATAAAACAATATACTGTATATAGGTTTTATATAACTTAATTTGTTTATACAAAAAAGTAAAATAAAAAAAAGTTAAATCAAAAATTTTTTAATAATTTTCTTGCCAATCTAAAAACAAATATTTCAAAAAAATTTGCTATTTCTTTATAATAAAGTCTATATTTTCTTCTTCTTATTATTATTTAAAGACTTTGGTCTTTTATTATTTGTTTTTTTATTCTTTAAAATAAATCTTATATTTTTTAAAATTATTTCTTATATAACATTTTTATCTCAATATTCTAATTATGGTTTTAAAAATTGAAATTGAACAGAATTATATAAAATTGTCTAAGATTCAAAACACTATTAAAAATAATGGTGAGTTATACTCCATTTATTAAATTTAATATAAATCTAAGAATTGAATACAAAATAGAAAATACTTGTTAAGATTCTTAATTTTGATTTTATTACTTAATAATTTATCTATAAAATAATTTTGAAAGGCAAATCTATAGAAAATAAAATTTTATTACTAGTTTTAAACTATCTAATCTATTTTAAACTTGATTTATCTCTTAAATTATAGAATATATTTTTTATAATATTTAAAATTTTTTAATTAAAAAGTTACTTTTCATTTATTTTTTTAAATAATAAAAATATTTTGTGCTGATTGAATAATACTAATTGTAACTTTTTTTACTAATCTTCTTGTCAATCCCAAAAATAAACATTTCAGGAAAATTTTATATATCTTTGTAATTAAGTTTATACATTTTCTTTAATAATATTTTTATTCAAAAACTCTAATTTTTTCCTACTTGTTTCTTTCTTTCTTTAAAATAAACTTTTTGTATTTCTACAAGTAAATACAAAAAAAACTACCTATAAAATCAAAGGCAAGAATACTTTGTTAAAAAAAAAAAACTGTATAAACAATACCTTCTTTCCTTCTTTTTTTCAAAAGTTCAAGACTCTAAAGAAGATTACTATAGACTTTTGAAACTCTTATTTTATCTTCTTCAGGTTTTTTTTTTATCTTCTCAAGTATATAAACTTTTTTCTAATTTTTATGAAAAATTTGCCTACTTCAGTTTGACTCTAAATTTTTGATTACACTGAAATCTCTGAACAATAATTGGCTCAAAATTTGGATTAATTAATCTGTATATAACAAAAAATATAAACAAGACATGTAAATCTACATGTTGTATCTTATACAATTTATATCTAATAATGTAATTAGTAACAATAAAAAAAGCAAGGTAACAAGATATACTTTTTGGCAAAAAAAATAATTTGATGCTTTCCTTCTCTCCTCTTAAACTGGTTTCATTTCTTCTTAAGATTAAAAGAAAATTTTATTCCAATTCAATAATAAGCTAGCTTTATTGTTGATTATTTTGAAAATGGTTGGAGAAAGGATCTTGAAATTATCCACTAATTAAATAAAGCTATAAATTCTTGGAGAATTGGCTAAAAAAGAAATCATTAATTAAAATATCAATCTTCTCTAAAGGTCAGAAATCTTTAAGTATAAAGTTTGAAAAAATACTCTTTTGAAAGTATTTTTAAATGTTCTTGATTAATAATAGAATAGTAAAAATTAAATGATTTTCCAGCTGCAAGTGGTTGAACTAGATTGTAGTTAAGAAGAAATTTTGTTTTACCAGTGTAAATCTTTTATTTTTATTTTTATTTTCACTTTTAATTTCTTAAAAAAATAAAATTTTTTTACTTCTATAGAATCACAATAGTAATATAGAAGTGACAGTTCTGAATAAAAGCTAGTTGTAATGTTTTAGACTAATAAAAGTATTAGAATAAAATTAAGCAATATTTTCATTTTCTACTATTATATCTAGAGGCCTTAGACTTATAATAGATATACTATATAGCAATATAATAATTTAGCTTTATTATAGTATTTTTAATATAAATATATAATTGTTTTTAACAAATAGTATTAATAAACTAAACAGTTTGTAACCTAATTTGAAGTAAAATAATAATAATATTATTTTTCTAAAAATTTATATAATATTGATTTTAATTATAAATTATCTATTGATAATATTTAGTATTTATTTATTTAATAAAAATTTAAAGTTTAATTACAAGCAATTTTTTAATTTTTTAAGTTAAATTTTATATAATTAATAATCGGTTTTATAAAATTATTTGTAAAGAATAATTTTAATTATTTGATTATTAAAATTAAAATTTTAGTTTAAATATGAAAGATTACATAAGAAAAGGCTTTGGTTAACTTCAAATAATGAGTTCACAAACTTTAACTAAAACTGGTGACAACAGACTCTGTCATGTTATAAAAAGATTAACTCTAAATTGATCTATTCCAATCAGAAGCTTAAAGATCTATTTCAATAATAGTATTCTTCAGAATTTAAATAGATTAAAAGAGTAAAGATTATTTGTTACAAGTGATGACAATCTAGACAAAAATTGTTAAGACCAAGTGAGGATCTTTTAAGATTAAATTGAAATTCAAGCAAAAACATCAATTCCACAGGTGGTGAAAATAATAATATGATATTATACTAGTAATATATTGTGAAAAAAAAGTAATAACAGTAACTGAAATACTGAAGTTAATCTTTATAATAATATTTCATATGATCTTCTTCCAGTAGGCAGTCAAAAAATATGATTAAACCAATAAAATAATAAGTTAAACTAGTAATAGAATTTTTTCTATCCTATATAAGTTCCACCTAATATGAACCTATTTACTTGATACAAGTTTATCAATTAGAATAGTTAGATTGGTCTTTGAAAAACCAATACTATTGAAAATGATAATTACTAGATAGTATTAATTTATATTTTAAAATAACAATAGTTTGGTCTATAAAAATATTTGATATAATGACAAAATATTCATATATATTAATAAAGTCTTATATCTAATACCTTTAGTTAACTAAAAAAAATTTTTTTAACTTGTATTAAAGTAAAATAATTTTTTTACTTTAAACATACATTAAATTTTACATAATTTTTTATTTAAATACAAAGTTTAAAACAATTTATTTTGAAAATTTCCAATAAAATTTTAATTTTTTGTTTAATAAAATTAATAAAGAATATCTTAAACTATACTTTTTATAATACAGGTAAGTTATAAAAATCAATATTTAAAATTTTAAATATGTAGACAAATTTGTTTACATTATAATTTAAGAAATAAGAAATAAGTAATATTTAAAAAAGTTAATTCAAATGTTTTCTTTTATCTTATTATCTAAATCTCAAATTATAACTTGTATCAATTTTGAATGTATACAAGCCATAACCTTTCTTATTACTTATAACAGGTATTATTTTTTTTAAGCTTTATATTGTGATCAAAATCCATTTGATCCATATCTGAGTGATAGTTTTTAGAAGGAATTAGAGATTAT